TCAACGAGCCACCTCATGCCTTATGTTTCCATTTGAAATAAAAAGTAGGGGTAGCTTGGGTTAGGGGGTTGAAGAAAAATTAATTATTATATAACCGAAAAATGGGAAAAAATCAAAATCACTTAACGTGTTTCGGCGTTTTAAAAAAAATTAACTCATTCAAAAGATATTAATTTTATTCCGTACTTCTGGCCATCCCTGTATACAGAGCCTTCGTAAGTGATTAAAAGCTACACGGACAGTAACTTTGTTTGGAATAGTAATTTTTTATTTCCTTCGCGTTGGCAATTAAATTTAGGTAGAATTAAAAATTATTATTAAACCAGTAAGATGAAGATTACATTCAACCGCAACATTCACCGGGTGGTGATTTTTCACGAGATTTTATTCAACGAATCAGCGATCACATTATGTCGAGCATAGGTTTGTCATTATTCGAATCATTAATAAATATTATTGTCGCTAAGATTTAGGGATTTTGAATTGAAGTACCAGTAGCGCAATGTTGGGTTGCCAGTAGGTATGGCGACAGTAGAGCCAGACGGACGCCCGAGACGCCGGGCGTCGGGACGCCCGCTTGTGGCCTTCGGTGGTGTGCGATCGCGGGTCGCTCGGCCCCCGATCGGCAGGTAGGTACAAGCGAGTTATGGAACCTGGGACTGGGGTAAGGTAAAATAAGCATTAGACAATTAATTCATTTCGCTCGGTCATAATTAACATATATCCGGCACATGATTATTTATAATTAATGTAAAGATACATGGGGTAAGAGAATATTTTAGGAATTGAAAATAGGTATTTATTCTTAATAATTGCATACGTTATGTCGAACTATATATACGTTGACAATTATTTTTAGATAATTGAGTGTCAAAGTATGGCCATAATCCTGTTTATCAAGATTTCAGGTAAGTATTGTAACTGTCTAGTTTACCTTCATGAAAATTTAAAATTTCTTCAAAAAATTGCATAGAATGTTTCGATAATTGTTTGACTAGAAAAGTATAATATATACAGATCTACAAATAAGGAAATTCGTTAAATGGGTTAGTAAAGTGTTCGACAAATAAGTAAAGCACAAAATGTAGAGTCGAGGTGGCCGAGGAGGTATTATAAGTATTTATGTACCAAAGCCCGTGTACTCTGGGACGTTGCCATAATTGTTTTTATTAGTCTGTCTATACATTTCAATCATTACAGATTTAGTGTTCCTGAGACAGAAAATTGTTAAATAAATTTGCAACGTTTTTCGCTTATAATATACAAGGGCAAGATATATTTTTTATCACAAAACGGGTAAGGGTTACGGTTAATAAAGATTGCACTCTAAGATTTGCTTACATTTAAGAAGTGTTTGTAGATGCTTTAAAAATTAAAAAATATTTATCTGTAATTGACAAAGCCCAGAGGTATATTTTATATTACATGCTTAATTTTAACACATTGTTTTCATTATTAGCATACTTTAGAACTACAACAGAAAACTGCAAGGTTCAAATAAGAAAAGAAAATATATGAACCTAACAACACCTTAAAAATAATAGAAAAACAGGCATCGCCCAATCATAACTGTAGTCAAACAAAAAGACATTGGGATCATTTACAACAGGTCAAGTTGATTTTCCATCTATAATTAGATCAAAATTTGGAACAAAATTATATCGGATATAAATAAATCTGTGTGGCTCTGTATATCGCGTGTATCGTATATTAGCTATATGTGTAGTGACAGTATATGCACATACAACTCTGAAACCGAAACGATAATCTTTCTGTATGTTCTTTGTCTTGTTCTATTAAAAATATGTAATGGAACAATATTTATTAGCTATCAATAACCATCTGGCAATTATCGCCGAGATCCCCAGTGTTAAAATAAAAATTCAAAACAAGGGAATTGAAAATGTAATTTTAAATATAAAGTAAATTTTTAGTTATCTTTATATTCATTACCTATAACTGGTGATTAGCAGAGTGTATCAAATTTATACAAAAATAAGCATCACTTGCAACTTCTACGATAAAACGTAGTGAGTTGTTAATATGATACTTTTAAGTGAATATCAAGTCAGCAGTAGTCTTATGACATAACCGACAGCAGTATTTTTATTTTAATAGGAAAAAATACTTATTGGGTAGAAGTATTTCCACAGTTATTATAAATATAATAGCGCACAAACATTTAAAAATACAATGTGTATAAATATTCCCGATATAACTATTAATGTATTCATAACTTAACCGGAATATATTTGGGTGTATTAGCCCAATGTAAATACCTCTTTTAATATTATGTGTACTTACCTCCATAACTATTTACGGCTATTTACCAAAGTTTAAAATAATACAACAAGCTAACGAGCCGAAAAGACAAGTACCGAGATATATTCATTCCGTTACTTTCTTTAATAATAAGGCTAATATTTTTACATACGTGAGCGTATAATAAAAGTATATTAATATAAGAAAAAATAAAATTAAAGTTTACACTGTAGACAGCCCTAGCAAACTTTTCTCTATAATTACGTCTTATAAGATAAAATTTGGCAACAAAATTATTTCGAACACAAATAAAAAATATGTTTTTATATATCATATGTAATGTCACAGTTTTAAAATAAATTACATTTTTAGACATTGCCATAACCATAAAGTCTCAAGTATAATTTTACCTAACGATTCGCTTACGACAAATTTCCATCGTATATGTTAATGCTTCAGGCGTCCTTTTTATTAAAGAATGTAATGGAATTTCTGTTATCCGACAACTAGCGCAAATGTTACTGCATTGAAAGTTATTAATTAAACCTATTCAAAACAAGAGAGTTTCAAACTATAAATATAATTGAATACATTTTTCTATTAAGGTATAGTGACTATAACGTTTCAAGTATACCGAATTCCTCAGAAAAATACTGTTTTACTAAAAATTGCTTGAGGCGTAAATATGTATTACATGTGTACAAGCGAAGGCATAAAAGCGTTCAAATTATCTTGGTACACCAAACTTGTGTACAGGTTTTAAGGTAAGGTGTTAGTGAATATGTGAATAGGTAATATTTAGATATATGTACTTAGAAACATGTATTTGTTTTTAGTACTTAGTGGAAGGGAGATGAAGGTGGAAAATGTAATATGTATACGAAAATAATAATATATTTTAAAATATCCTTTATGATAATGAAGCGAGATGCATGCGAACGTAGGGGGATATATTTTGCTAGAAATATTATTTTAAGGGGAATATTAGCTAACCGAAATAACATTCTTAATCAGTGGAAACAGACAAGACTTTAGTATATCTATCCATTTACATTTAGGTAGTGTACAGTTTTTCACAAAATAACTTTATTTTAGAATAAAACAATACAACAATGACCAAATTATCTCAACACAACACCTCGTCAGTCGTCTGTGGTCATTCTCTGTCTCTCGTGTCCCTGCCTTTCAGTCCGAATTTCCGCGCCTTGGCCTTCACTTCTTATCGTTGTTTTATAAACAGCGGCCCCCAGTCGAAATAATACCCTAACAGTAGATATTCAAGTACATCGTGTGAATGAAGTATTTAATGTTTAAATTAGATTTAAATTAATTTTGTTTAAATAATCGAGAATTGTTTTGAAAATCCTATGACTCAAAGTATGCGAGAATTTAAATATTTGTAGTATTGCAATACCGAATGGTTTACTCCTATCCTCGTTCTTATTATATTTTATGTTTAACTTATCAATACCGTTTCAATTATTACATACTTTAGGCGGGCAACAGTGAACTTCGCTGTCAATAGATAAGTAAAAAGGAATAAGACAAGATTTATTGTTCCAATAACCAAACAAGAAAAACAACTGTTGTACTATGCAGATACAATAAATTCAAACATCTCCGGTTTATTAAAAACGACGCAAAGGGAATAATACAAATTTATTATTTAACTAAAAATATCACTTTAAACTGACTGAAATAAGAAAATTTCAAAACACGTGCACAAGATATCGCTGAAAGGGTAAAGAACATGGACCTGAATTCGTTGTATTTATAATTATTAATTTATCTAAAATCCAACTATAAAATTCATAAGAATGTTTAATTAAAAATAGATATAGACATTACAATAAAAAATAGTACTAGCTATGCTCTAAATATGACAAATTTGTATAAAAGGAAGTATACTTACCGCTTCTTTGAGAGGAAAGTAAAGAGGTGCTAATATTTGCTTATGGAATATTTATAGTATCTGCTAGCTACATTAAAGTAAATCTAGAAAAGCTGATAATAAAAAATATAAATTATAGCACCATATTTTTTAGAACTCTTTTGATAAAATATTTAAATTTTAAATATTTAAAGATATTTTTAATTTTATGTACGTTAAATATCGGTCGCCGATTTTGTAAATGAGAAACAAAGCAAAAATCAATCAGTCTCTTTTGAATAAAGCGCTTAGGGTAATGAAAGCATAACTACATACTTGTGTTGGTACATAATTGCGAGAAAGTGCTTATACTGACTTCTTTTCTTGAAAAATTACTCAAATAGTGCATTTAGTATCCACGCCTCCTTTGCGCAATAAATGACAATATATGGTAATAGTAACAAAGTCATTCAAATAATTTAATTAATATTATATTACATAAATAGTGTAAACAACTGATACTACTATAATGATTATTATGATTGTAAAAATATAGTTCTGTCGAAAATACACATATTTTTAACATACAATTTTTCAGTCTTTTTTTATAAATACGCAATAAAGAAAGGTAATTAAAGAATACATACAGTGTAATTAAATTGTATATTAAAAACTGTTTTAATAAAAATAACAGGATTAACTAATCACATGATACTAACAAATATTCTAACATCTTAAATAGATATATTTAAGCATAATTACTAAGTTCTTTGATTTTTTAAATATTTATATGAAACAATAGCAATTGTTACTTATATATTCTCAATGTTTTATGCGATATGTCCTTGCTGTGTTACTTAAAATACAATTATTCAGTCCTTTGTTTTTTGTAGCCATATGGCACTGACTCGTGATCTTCGCGAAACCATCTTTTTGTAGAATTTGGACGGTATATTTTGGTTTCCACGCGATTTATAATTTCGTGTATATTTGTTCTTCTTATACGGTTTGAAGTTATGTACACGGGCTCGGAAGGTTGGAGAACCATATCCTTTATAGTTTCGAAATTTACAATTAGTGAGGCCGCATGTGTCAAAGATATACCTTTAACTTTGCACACTATTTCTTCATGCTGATTGCTAGGTGATAATACTTTGTAGGCGTAATTTTTTGGGCCGCCGCTTGCAAATTCCGTGATGTAAGCCCCAGGACCATAAGATTCCAATTCATCTGTCAAGTCGCCTATGAATTTACCCACTGTTGGTTCAAATTCTCCTTCCCGGTGGGTAAAGATAATCGAATCTGTATCGTAATATAACACCCTTTTTCCTAACTGCTCCAAGTAACTGTATAGTTTTAACCTTGCTTGCGTAGTGGTGTAGGCTGCAATGCACACATTAACGGTGGCGAGAGAGTCACAAGCTTCTTCTTTGAATTGCCAATTTATTATTAGGGTGTTCTCATTTACGGGAAATGCGTGATACACATCAATGGAAGGATTTGTTAACATATCATAGAATTCTTTTGGTGTATTGACTATTGTTGTTTTTGTCTGGTTTTCTCTCTGACCAAACTTGCCCCAGAATGAATTAAGCATTAATTTAGCTAGAGAACGAAGACCAGGATTTTCACAGATTTCATTAAATTCTAATTGAACGTTTTCCCGGACTAGGAACTCTTCGATATATTGGTTACGTTTTTCTGTTGTGTCACACGTTTTGGGCCATCCGGAAGCTTGCTGCTTTGCTTTTATAAATTTGTTCATCATAGTAGTGAACAAACCTTCCGCTTTTGTAATTTTGTCAAATTTTTGCATCTCATAATTCCAGACTTCATAGATTTCCATCAATCTGTACCCTTTCTCCAAAGCTTTCACTACCTCATCGATAACCCATGTTCCGCTTAAAGCTCTTTCATCCTCTTCATGACTGCAAGTGTTCCTTTGCATTTGTTGTGCACATATCCGACAAAGTACAAACATAAGTTTATTATTTATCTTCTGTGGTAGAACAGGATGATACAAGTTCTGAGGCGGTAAGATTTTGCATTTTATAAGACCATCTATTTCTTTTAAATCTAAAGTGTTACATTCTTCACCGAGATAGATTTTCGGATGACCTACAGGAAATTTGCCATATTTACAAACCCAAGGATATAGGGAACATACATCTAGATACTTGATTTTTTCACCCTGATTAACTTTATAGTATTCGAAGGTATTGCCCGTTCTTCCACCATAAAATGCATCGCGAGGGTTTAATGGAGCATTAACAAGTAGAGGATGCTTTTCAGTATACAAATCAATATCTTTATTGTCTTTCATTAGCGTACGAAAGTTGCATTCCCACATTTCGATGATATCGTATCCTAGATTTTTGAGACGTTCCGTTTTGGCAGCAGTGCTTTCAAAGCGTCTTTCTAAAGTATCTGACGGATCTTCATATGTGGGATTATTTCTGTTGTATTTGAAACAATGTGCACAACCGTGGTAATAGCACCCATAAAACTCAAAGATTTGATTTGTTTGATTGCAATAACCATCGACTTTTACTCCCTCCAACACTGTTTCTTTTCCTTTGGCAGCATGCATTATATTTACACCACGTTGTCTTTCTTCCCACACCAACCACTGTATGGCTATTCTACTCTGGTTATCACGCCATCTGTACCCGTTCTTAGGGATAATACCTATGGTGTTTGCCTGGAGAAAGTTGCGACGAAACACTTTATTGCATGCTGATGCTATGGTGCAGGCTTCGGTAAAAGGGCACACTTTACATGTTTCCAAAAGCTGCTGCCTAAATTTCAAACACGCCGTAGTAAGTATTTCTACATCGGATATACAGTATTCCATTAGCTCTTTCTGAAAGTCGAACACGTATTTTTCACGGATCTTCTCTGAATGCCATTTTATTAAATTACTTTTTTCGCTCCCTATTAAGTTATCAGGACTATAATATTCTAGAGCGGGCAATGATCCTTTATAATTTTCATTTCCGGATGTATTAAAAAGATGGGGGAAATAACCCTTTTTCAGCTGTGTCAACCCAAATGCTTTAGGTAGTTTAGACAACGCCATTGGAAAATAATTAAGAGAGTCCAAAAATTTTAAGTTATCCAATTCCATTAAAATCAACTTTGTGCCACGCATAATTAATTCAGGAGTAAGATTCGTTTTAGTCAGGATATGATTTAAAATAAATTGATGATCAAAGCTACCTCCATTATGGGCCATGACTACCACCTTCTTGAATAATTTTCTCTGATTTAGCAGAAATTCTACGAATCTTGTAATCGGGTCTACTTTCAGTACATGCAAACGGACGCCACACTTCGTGCAGGTATTTTGTTGTGAGTTCATACATGTATCACAACACTGTTTGTACACGCATAGGTTAGGTTCATGGAGGTGCGATCCATTGTCTTGTTGTTTTTCTTGTTTTGTTTCTAGGTCGTAAAAAACAAAAAGCAGGTCGTTAGTTTTAGGTTTCCTTAAGTCGGGTTGTATGAAGCACAGATGATCTTGAGGTACATGAACGTTACATATTTTACAAAATATTTCACCACAATGGTGCTTTCTGTCGGCTTTTACGGTCCTCAAGCATTTATCACAATATGTAATTTGCTCGCAAACTGTGCTTTGTCCAAATGAACCAGATTTTCTGTGATTATCGTAACAATCTTGACCCCTGAATGATCTTTTGCAACAATCGCATACTAACTTTAGCCCTGGGGGACATGTGGGTGTTTGTTGACAACATGGGCATGTACCTCCACATCTGTGCTTATTTTTGTGGTCGTATGGAGTGTAACATATCTCGCAATAATAACCACAACAAAAAGCAGCAGTCAACGAAGTGATCACGTTGTAGTGACCCTTATGATGGAGTAAATTAAGTGAAGGTCCCTCACCAGCACCACTGAATATTACTTCACGGCCTTTGTGTCCATAATCATAAACAACAATTTTGTAGCCCGTGAGGTGTCTCTGAAATATTTGTAACTCAGGTATACCAGCTCCCTCATCAGGAATCGGGACACTAGCGTTATGACAAAGCTCCAAAGCTCTTTGTGTTTGGATTTTTGCGATATCTTTACGCACTTTTGTATATTCAGGATCTTTGTCAACGTAACTCTTTGCAACCACTAATGCGCGAGGTAGGCATAAGCTGTCTTTATTGTTAATAGAAATAATTCCTCTACGCATACTGCACTCTTCATCAAACGTATTGAATTTACGAGACCGACCTTTTCCGCGACCAACAGGCATTTTCACACTAGTCACACCGAGGCAAAATGTTTCCGTGTTGATTCCAGACGAGTTTGATTGGTATACACTGCTTATTATGCTCCATATGTCGTCATAAGTAATCTCGTTCACTGGTCTGAAACGGACCCAGCCTTCGCCCCGTAGAAAATCCTTAGAACAGAATGAAAACGCTACTTGATCCTGGGGATCCAGAGCTTCTGTACCTTTAGCTATTATTTGGTTAACAGCATCCTTTATCCATCCTATAGGTTCAATACCATCAGCTATGGGTTTAATTTTAAATTCAAGAGTACGACCCATCAAATTGAATCGGCGTACCTTTTTCAGCATATCTTTAATGATAACAAATTTTTCCATATTTCTCAACTTATCAAGTAAAGGGTAACGCAAAGGACGTCTTCACAGTACAAATCAAAGTTGAAAACTGATCGGTTGCCTATACAACTCCCTTATTTATATGTTCTCGATATAAGGTATCGATGAAACCTGAAAATAAAGAGGCTGATTAGTAATATGAATTTAAATTATTGATTCGCTAAGTATATAACATGAATGTAAAGGTAATTACCAGGTTATCCGCTTAAAATTTAAGTAGTAATTCTAAGAACACAAATATTAATAATAAAAGTATATTTTCCTTAAATAGAGAAATATTTTTAAAATTTTACACTGTTACAATACTAGTAATACATATGACGTACAACAATAGACTAAATATTTTCAATTCACGAATTCCTATTTATATCCTGAAGTAACATGAAACTATTTTATATTTCTAAAAGGCCCTCTGAAATTCATTATTTCTTCTTTATTTACATAAAAACAATGCATTTTTACAATCCTGGTGATGCAAAACAGTTCTCCATGAATAAAGAGCCTCAAATTTTATGTGAACAAGTAATATTTCAAAGACTATTTCAATATTTCCCATATCCAAAAAGGCTCTCTAGTACTTGTAATTTGTTCGTTATTTACATAAAGGCGATGCATTCTTTACAAATTTAGGTGGTTTGCAACAGTTTTCCATTTAAACGCATATATATATGGCCACACAAATTTAAATTGAAATAATTCTTAAGATATCTTAATCTGTTTTCAAACTCCAAGTATTTAAAAAGCTAGACTAAAATAAATAACTTATCCGTCTCTTCCATAAAAATTTTTTGTTTTCATACAAGTTTGAAGAATTGAAACAATTTTCTATTTAAAATGGAATTGGAATGTAGTTATTTATTATTTCTTATTTTATGTAAATTTATGTTCCGCCTTAAAGACTCTTAAATAATGTTCTCTTTAATAATAGGAGAGCGTACAATTTCAAATGAGAACCCCTCGTTATTCTATTTAAGTATAGTATTTCTTTGCTTTTTTCGCTGCTTATTTTGATGGTAAGAAACGACCGTTTTTGTTATTTAATATAATAGACTGTAAATAGTGCAACCAACTAAAATATTATTAAATTGGACGTCAGTTTTCAGTATATCACCATTTTTAGCTGAAATAATAATTTTATCTAATGAATTAAATAGATTAACCTTATGATACACATGAAATACATTAAAAAGGAAATGTTAAATTTGTAATGCGCAGTCAATTTAATTCGCCCTGTAAAATTAATTTTGCAAAAATACCGAATACACTCATAGTGCGCTTCTAAATCTGTAAAGTGTTTACAGCAGTGGTCATGGTTACTGTCGTGCAACAATGAAAGACTCCGTTTAGTTCGTCCATAACCAAATGATAGCTGTTTACCGGTTTTTTTATTAAACGTAAATTTTGTTAGCTATGTATTGTTTCTTGTGTTTTGTTTTAAAGACTGTAAAAGTTTAAATTAGACTAAAGACATACTAACAGTACTTGCAATGCTATTCATTGAAAAATTAAGGGTGCGCGGAAATTCCGAACTTTACTGAAAAAGTAATTGAAAACTCTATTTCGAGCAAAAGTAGAGGAATGGACTTTAACTATAAAAAATAATGTTAGGCACATTTTCTCTATATTTCAAAAGTACTTTAAATAAAACTATCCAATTATATTTGATTTCTTTGTCAATACTTTGTAGCTAAATTTTTCCGTCCTTCCTGGTATGGAAGTCAAGAACCGCCACTGCATCTAGCCTAATATAACTTAACACGCAGGGGGGTGTCATACCCCTATTAAAAGAATTAACAACTATAAACCAATAGTTATAATTACATATTCATAATTTACTTTTATAGAGGCTTTATATATTTTATGTATTTATATAAATTATACAAAAGCGTGTAAATATTTAGGGAATTTTTCAACATATTCAAAATATTGAATATGGACGCTTTATATCGATGTTCTTCAGTTATGACGATATTGTAGGTATATGGAGCAACTTTAAGATATATTTTAAAGATACTTCTACTAAAATATATTCGCTAAATGCGAACGCTAAATTATTAGCATGCGTATTTTTTAACCTAATTATCTACCGAAAAAATATGTTTGCTACAGTTTTTGACTTTGTAGGTAACGCCTAAAAATTTATTTCAATGCACGTTTTAATATTAGCGGTCACATTGATGATCAATGTACATTAAACGTCTATTATAAACATTTACAAGCCAAATTGTATGATATGAAGTGATTATTTGCCAATTGAAAGCCTTAGGTGATTAATGAAAATTATAGCTGGAAATTCTGTTAGGTTTAAAAATGGTTAAAATACAGTAAATAAAACTGTATATCCATTTCTTTTGTTCTACTATATACTCGTAGATATTTTCAATTCCATGGCAAATAATGGTCCTACCCTTACATTTTTGCTTTATTTTACTTGTTCTCATGAAAATTGTCTAATTATTCTAGCAANTATAAATTATACAAAAGCGTGTAAATATTTAGGGAATATTTCAACATATTCAAAATAATGAATATGGACGCTTTATATCGATGTTCTTCAGTTGTGACGATATTGTAGGTATATGGAGCAACTTTAAGATATATTTTAAAGATACTTCTACTAAAATATATTCGCTAACCTAATTATCTACCGAAAAAATATGTTTGCTACAGTTTTTGACTTCTGATGTTATTACCGGAAAAGATTATATTTGTAGGTAACGCCTAAAAATTTATTTCAATGCACGTTTTAATATTAGCGGTCACACTGATGATCAATGTACATTAAACGTCTATTATAAACATTTACAAGCCAAATATGAATATGAAGTGATTATTTGCCAATTGAAAGCCATAGGTGATTAATGAAAGTTATAGCTGGAAATTCTGTTCGGTTTAAAAATGGTTGAAATACAGTAAATAAAACTATATCCATTTCTTTTGTTCTACTATATACTCGTAGATATTTTCAATTCCATGGCAAATAATGGTCCTTTTTGCTTTATTTTACTTGTTCTCATGAAAATTGTCTAATTATTCTAGCAAAACATCAAAATAACCAAAAATTTATGGTTAAATTGATGTCGATGGTATAAGAATATATACATTTAAGGAACAAATCGAAACTTGTAAATAGTGGTAAAGGTGTACGAAGGTGGTGTTTTTCCGTTTATTTAATTCTTGTGCATAAAGCTATGTCTTACTATTGTTGGAGATCGTCGCAAATGATCAAGAGACTTGCCTTAGGAACACATACAAATTGATAGTTATATAAAGAAATACAAATTGCTAGTTTTCATTCATAAAACCATTAAGAGTATGAATATGAATTCAAAGTAAATTGTTCAAAATATTCAAAATAAAGTGTTGTTGTAAATTGTTGTTTTAAATTGTTGTTGTAAATTCAAAATGTAAATTGGACCTCAGTTTATGTTAGGGATGATAAAAAAAAACAGGTAAATAACAAACTCCAACTAACACGTCCTCGTTATAATTGAAAGCTGTACGGTGTATAATAGTAATTTTAACTAGTTTTTTAAATTGCGAGATAATAAACTTCCTCTTAGAATCGGATGGAGTTGATTGCCATACATCTGGAAAGACATGTTATTTTTTATTTTCAAGGCTATTTTTTATCCTTTGCATTTTATTATTATCTACGATAAATTAATAAATATTGTTAGGAAAAAATCGTTAAAACCTTTTGATTCTTCCAGTAAGTGACACTTACTTACTTACTTACTTACAGTAACTATAAAAAAGCTGGCAAAATATCGGATAAATACAAAAAATTGCAGCTTTCGTGGTTACTTCTTAATTTTTACATAATCAATATTTAAAATAATTATTGTATCCAATAATATTCCTGTTATCGTCACACACAATGTAATACCTGTCTCCTTTTCTAATTCTTTATACCTTTTTAATTCATGATATTCCAGTTATGTATATTTATTACAGTTCTACGTCATCGAATATTTTTGTGACTTAAGTGCAGAGATTAACTTTACAATTCAACTTTAAACGTATAATTAAATTGTCTTATTACCAAGTTCATTCATCTCGTTCTCTTTCTTTTCTTCTATTCCAAGAAATAAATATAAATATTGCACTGTACAACTTAAAATTGTTTCTCATTTGTAATTTACTTTTGGGTATCAAAACAAAAATTTAAATATAAATAATTCTAGCGCCTAAAACGCAAAGTTTTCATAAATGTATTGATCTTGTCCAGCCTATGACATAGAAACAACCATAACAAAACATTTCCGGTGGAAATATTATATGTAGTATACATATATACATGTAGTAAATTCAAAATAAATCCTGCCCCTTTATTTTAACATAAACCTCTGAAAAATCTATACATTATTTGCATAAGTAAAATGGATATTGGTCTTATTAGAGGGTAAAACAAACAAGTTATTATACTTTACGCTGTTACGCTATACTCATTTTAAGATCATTATATAGATTTTACTTTAAATATATTCACATAATTGGCATAAACATTTACTTCAAAAGTTACATTCTAAACTTTGTATTTCTAATATATGTTGATATATGGGTACGTTATGATAGTATATCAAGTGGTAAAACTAAGCTTTTATGGAAGTAGAGATCTACAAACAAAGCAGCTATTAACTGACACAAAAATTTGTATTTTCAGATTATTCAGATGTAGCCATCTCAGTCAAAAACCATATTTATATTCGTATTGAAAATAATTAATTTATATCTATACTTTGAATAAACAGCGTAATTATTGACGTTATATTTATTCTGATTCTTTATTATTATACGAGTAGTATACGAGTATATGCAATTCTTATGAAAAAACTTCAAAAAAAAAAGGGATTTATATTTAAAAAGATATATATATATACGCTATACCTTTAAATGCAATGCTTGTCATAGAGCATGTTCTTATAAAATTACCAAAAAGTAAATACCTGATTAACTTAATGGCTGCTATACAAAGATTT